GTATATACTGTTGTTAAAACATCCGTTTTATTTATATTAGCAACATATTAAAACAAATAACGCAATTATGGGTAGAACAATTTTTTAAAACAGTACCGAAAATGCAAAGGTGGGCATTAACTTGTTAAAAAGTTAAAGTTAAGTTAAAAAGTTAAAAAAAATTAACTTTTTAACTAGTTAATTATTTTTGTCTTTGGCTTGTTAACTTATTCAGTTAAAATTTCCAACTCAATTATATAAAATACCTAGGTGTAAGGTATATAGAATACCATTTATACCAATATTAAATATTAATAAAATAATAAATTATAATTTTCTAGTAACTTTGTTGAAAAATATTAACTAGTAAATTACTAACTGGATTGTTGGAAAATGCTGGGTAAAATAACGTTATTATTCTAAATAACAATAAACGCTAAACTTGGATAACGTTTTAATTCTGAATAACGATAAACGAAAAACTTGTGTAACGTTCTAATTGTTAATAACGTAAAACGCAATTTTTTCAAATGCAAGCCTTGTAGGTAGTTACCTATTATAGGTCAATTTTTTTTTAATACCATAGATAAGTATATAATATGTCTTATACCTATAGACTGACATACCGTCTCCACTCAGAATCATTTTCCTTGTACAATGACATTATATCATTGTATTCAAATTTAATACCATCCATTATATTATAGTGACCTACTTGTAACCTACTGTACAGCAGAGTGACATCCACTTGCCCACCTTTTAGATTCTGAGTGAAACGATGAATGTATTGGTTTTACAATTATGAGTGTTTTTTTTTTTATTTTTGTGTCTGTTCCTGAAAAATTTGATAAAAGTGACTTACGAGGTTTTCGTCTGTAGCCGACGACTTGTAAAAAAAGTTGTGCCAGATGTTTTTAATATTTTTCAACTGCTATAGTAACAATATATCAGGAGCTTCGCATTACATTTTCACACTTTTTGATCCAACAAATAAAATTTATTGACAATTATAGAAAAAAAAATTTAAAAAATTTAAACTGAAAATGTCTGAAACAGCTCGTGAACAGTCAAAATATTTTATATTTTATATATTATCAATAATTTTATTATATTATCAATATACGCAAGATATTTATAAATTATAAATTATAATCAATATATCGCGGACCGTCACTATAACTTATCGCTCTCGTTTTTTTTTTTTTGTTAAATCCAACCAATCGATCTAATAATGCGATAATCTTTCAGACAACTGCTCTGAATTCGTTGGAATGTCCATTTGAGATCAGTCAGTCCACACTTAAGATTTCTGCTTTAAATTCCGAATAATTCCCGAATAATCAAAGTTTGAAAATTCTGAAATTTCTATATATCAAGCTACATTTTTAGAGGTTTGTGGGGGAGGGGTGAAATTGTAAAAAGTAGATTGACCAATCTCAAGTAGACATAATAACGAATTCAAATCTGTTTTTAAAAGTATTATCGCATTACTAGATCGATCAGTATGATGGAATGAAAATTGGCTGTTTTGGCTAAAATAACTGTTTAATATAATATTATATAATTTACTTTTATGGTATTTCGTCAGGAACGTTTTTTCAAGGCTAGCCCCTCGTCGTGTTAATAAAACTTAATTTCAATAATATTGTTGGTCTGTGGGGTTGATCTAAAAAAAAGATGCCCGGAGGAACTCATATGATCTAATCGTAACTTTTCTTCAGTTTCGGCGGCTGTTGCGACGACGCGCGGCAGCAGTAGCTACTCGCTCAACGGCAATCACGATCATAGCATACGTTCCTGGTACATTCTGTTACATTATAGAAAATATCGTCAGAATATTCGTTTATACAACGTTACTGAGTACAAAATATATAAATATATCGGACGTCGTTTTTAGTGAATAAATCATTCAAATTTCAAATAACTCTCATTAGATAAAAAATGAATAATTTAATTTGTATAGGTACCAATATTAAAATTTAAAATTCAACGAAATCACTGAGGGAATAAATTTGCCATATAAATAAATGCAAATATAATTCAATAGGTGGATTCACTACTAGCATTGATTTATGATTATAGTATAATATTCAATCAGGGCTTGAAACCGAAAAAAATTTTTCCGGTTTCGGTTTCGGTTTCGGATACCGGTTTTGATTTTTTCCGATTTCGGTTTCGGTTTCGGATACCGGTATCAATTTTTTCCGATTTCGGTTTCGGTTTCGGATACCGGTATCAATTTTTTTCGATTTCGGTTTCGGTTTTGGATACCGGTATCGATTTTTTCCGATTTCGGTTTCGGTTTTGGATACCGGTATCGATTTTTTCCGATTTCGGTTTCGGTTTCGGATACCGGTATTGACTTTTTTCGATTTCGGTTTCGGTTTCGGATACCGGTATTCATTTTTTCCGTTTCGATTTCGGTTTTTAACGGTTTTAACCGGTATTCAAAATCAGTATCGAATATCGATTATAATCCCTTTATTTATAATAATTTATAATGACATAAAATACTGGCGTAGGAACCTACTTGCCAATCGCCAAACATTGCGTGGTGTACGATTTAGCGTCTGGTTGCCTGACAAGTACTATAGTATTTGCAATCAATGATAATATTTACACTGGAATGAATACGTGATTATGACGTATTTAGTTATAGGCAGCCTCACCACTTCATAACACATTTTCCAAATGATTTGCGACCTAATTTTTTAAGAGTTTGTGTAACTTCATCGTTTATAAGTTGAAACTATTTTCTCAATGAGGGGCTAACTTCATGTGTGTCCCACCCACCACATAAATCAATTTGATCACAGCTTGATTATATTATACCAATCTAGATTAGGTATATTAATCCAATAGAGTATGGTTGATGGTGGGTTGGTAGGGAGCACATTTTTCAGTCGACGGCTTTTAGGGAAACCCAGACAATATTATGTTAAGGCCTTATAATGTATTATAATAAATTATAAATAATATAAATTATTTATAACTATACTATAATTATTGACTCAGTATTTCATAATTTATTGTTGGCTATTGTGTTAATTTAATGTAGGAAAATTATGCCATATAGTTATTTCTGTCTTCTGATCGTCTGTGGCGGCAGAAAAACACGACAGCTTATAATATAGTAAATAATAATAGTATTATTGTTATACAATTTTTATTATAGCGTATTTCTGCGTATACTGTTTTAGAATACGACTATACGATTAATCCATTTACCAAAATAATATATAATATATAAATAAAATAATTATTATATTGCGTATAATAATAATATTATATTATGCGTCTAATAATTTATATACCCTGTGGAATTACCTATGCAAACATACGGGTGCCCGCAGACGAAGACTACTGCACCAGTGCAGCTAGACCTACTTACATAATAATATATTATTAAATTATAAAATATTAATTATAATAATATAATATATTAGGCACCATTAATCATTATTAATATCAATTGAATTACTGCAGAACTCAGAAAGTATACATAATAATATAAATATCTATATAGGTAGGTACTTTCGAGTTAATATTTTAGAATCCAGTAAAAAACTAAGTAAAACTAAGTAAAAAAAAAATAAGGCATAGCACATGACCTAGGCTACAGGTCTAATAAATGGACCAAATTAATAATTTTTAATAATATTATTATAAACGCGCCATGGAAACGGCAATATAAATATTATAAACTATTAAAATAAATAATTATATATAATATTTATATGATAATTTATAAAAACTAATAATATACCAACAAAAATACTATGTCAACTCCATGTAAAAAAATCTAATTTAATTTAATTCTTCGTTTTGAGCACGGAGTAAACAATTACCCCAGACGTATTAATACAGTATATTAATAATTTAATATGATAATTTATAAAAGACTAATGAACTTTAACTTAGCATAGTTATTTTTATTTAAGGATAACTTAACTTTAACTAGTTAAAAAAATTGGTTAACTTACCCAGCTTTGCCATCATCCACATGATGTTATAATAAATAATTATATCTTATAAGTTATAATATTATATTTAATATTGATCACATTGTATGATAGAAGGATAGAACAAATTTACATAATATACACGATATTTATTATTTTCTACCATATGCATTATAAATTATATTATTCATAGCTTTTAAACAGAAATTCAATTATAGTCTATAGGTTTATTTTAAATGCGTAGAACTTTTTAAATGTTAGTTATTAATGTTATCATTTTTCGACTTCCGTTTCGGATATCATGTTATTTCTTAAGATTTCGTCTTAAGTTTCAAAAAACGGTATTATTTTTTCCGATTTCGATTTCGGTTTCAGATATCGGTATTTATGTTTTCCGATTTCGGTTTCGGTTTTGGATATCGGTATTTATGTTTTCCGATTTCGGTTTCGGTTTCGGATACCGGTATTTATTTTTTCCGATTTCGGTTTCGGTTTCGGAAACCGGTATTGATTTTTTCCGTTTTCGGTTTCGGTTTTGGATACCGGTATCGATTTTTTCCGATTTCGGTTTCGGTTTTGGATACCGGTATTATTTTTTTCCGATTTCGGTTTCGGTTTCGATTTCGGTTTCGGTTTTTAACGGTTTAAACCGGTATTCAAAACCGGTATCGAAAATCGGTTTCAAGCCCTGTATTCAATGTTACTAAGTACTACCTAGTTAGTAGTTACTACTAATGTGTGCGTAATTTGATTTGAATAGATGATTAAAGAACTTGGATACCTAGCTAACAAATGCATACACTTTTGTAATCGCTTATCTAGCTATTAGTAGTTTATAACAATACTAGGTAGGTACCTAAGTAATATCCAAGAATTAAAGTATTTAAAATTCTTTATAGGATCTTCATTTTTAGCATTAGTTAGCAAATAATTTCTTTTAATTTCTTTGTATTATTATTCCTTTAATTTGTTCTGTAGATAGTTACTATATTACTTACTATGTAGCGTAGGTAATTAAATTGTATGACTTATATTATATGATTGCAGATTGAGAAAAACATGGCAATTAAAGACGATTTCGTAACAAATATAAGAAGAAATGAAATCCGTAGGTATCCGCAAGAAAGAAAAAAAACCCAAAGGTCCTTTATTACCTACCTATTACTTTTAATATTTTATTAGACCTATTAAATATCTGAAAATATATTGAATAATAGTACCTAATAAAATGCTATAGCTTTAGGTTCAAATTAAATTATTAAAATATTAGAGTCCTAAATAGCAAAGTGTATAAATGTGTGAGACAGGAAACAAAATGTGTTAAATAAATAATAATCTAACATAGGTAACCTAACCTATGCCCTGTCTTTGAGCTAATGGATTACATTCAAAAATGATTAAGGAATTACATGCAACCAGCTTCAAAATAAAATTGTTGTAAAAAAAAGACTTACCTATTTTATTTAATATGATAAAATAATAATAATTTTACCTTGACTATATTTATTTAATAATTCAATTTAACTTTTAAAATTATAATTTCACCTACCTAGAATAAATAAATTATTATTAGGGTGATATTTATTATACAACTAAAAAGGCATGATAAAATTTAAAAATAAAATGCCTAGTATTTTTTTCAATTTCTACATCATAATTGATTATGATTGTCATTAGTAAATGGTTAGGTTAGATTGTCACGGTCATCTGCCATGTGTATGATTGATACAGGTTTTTAATTTTTTCATGTGAGAGTAGGATTGTTTACATATAGATGTAGATCTAAACATCATATTTAAGTACTTTGCAGCTATATTCTTTATTGTTGGATATGAATGAGAAAATTCAGTTATTATAATAAAGGTGATACCAAACTTTAATGAGTTTTTAAAAATATCTTGAAATTGTAAATCTGATACTTCAATTTGGGGGAATCAATTTTTTTTTTATATATTTTATACAAATGTTTAGGGATTTAAAAATATTTTAAATAATAAAATAATAAATTTAAATAAAAGGCATGGAAATAATTTATTTTTTGTACCAATCGCCCTATGGACAATTTAATTTGTTTAACTAATTATAACTGCTTTTTTAATGTTTAGATGCTACTACTACTACCGCCTCTTCAAAAAGTTCAATAGATGATGAAGAGTTTACATTATTGTAAGTTATTGAATTAATAACACATTTTATAGACTTTCAAAATGCACATTATAATACATTGCTTGTATATTTTAGTTGTAAAATGTTATGCCTTTTTTAAATAGTTGTGTGTACTTTTCTTGTAATTTGTATATTTACTATTGATATATTTTGATAGGCAACATTTCTTGATTTTCATTATTTTTGGACTATATTTTAAATAATAACTGTTGATTTCAGATTAAAAACTATTGTAAAAAAATTGAAGAAAAAAAATAAAAAAGCAAATTAGGTTAGTATTCATATTTGTCTAAAATAGAAAATTATTAGTTTAATTAATTTTTTTATTAATTTTAGAAACAATCAAAACATGGAAATGTGTCCAATTTTACCAAAGATGATAAAGTAAAATGCAATGTATGCAATCAGTTATTCTCAAAGAACTATTTTGCTATTCATATGCAATCTCATAATGCTTCATATAAATGTGATATTTGTGGCAAGAAATTTTCTTACCTTTCAATATTTAATAGACACAAAGCAACTCACAAACATGATATGGTAGTATACGAGTGTAAGTTATGTGATAAAACATTTAGAAACCCTAGTAATTTATCCAAACATGATACACTTCACGAACAAGAGATTATAAAATGTCTATTTTGTTTTAAAACATTCAAGCATTTTGATGATTTTCTGGACCACATTAATATGTACTCATTTGACAAACGTTCTAAAAGTTTGACTAATCACATAAAAATACACAGTGAAGGCATACACTGTTTATCATGTTGTACATGTAAAATGAGTTTTGCAGAGCGCGATACCGTCATAAAATACATCACCTGATACATTTCATCAAATAACTAATATTAATTTGCCATTTAAACAAATACCTACATTATATTATGTTTAAATAAAGCATGATATTAAGTGTAATATATTATGTATGGTACCTAATTTTGTTTTTTTTACAAACTATTTTTATTTTAAAGTCGCTAATTTTATACAATTGTAATTATTTTAAATATTATACACGGATTATTCTAACTCATCTTTATTATCAATTAACTTATGTTAGAACTTATAGTATTGAAATACTTAAGTGTAGTATTCATTTATTATTTGTTAACAAAATCAACTTTCAAATATACAATACTACATTTTTATAAAAGTACCTGATGTTAAAAAAAACTCAATATTCCTAATGGAAAATATAATAATGTGAATTTTAGAATCTTAACTGTTTAATTGTTATAAACATGTTTAGTTTATTATTTCTGACTTGTGTAGTTTTTATTTGAAAATCAAATGAAAAAACCAAGTTGCTCTGCTATACTGTAGGTTTTGAGTATGAACAAAGATATTGATGATAAAATATGATCTTAGTTCATATTTGATGCCGTTCATGGTCTAATTCTGTATTATTTATACTCTGTAGAGTGTGGATGGATAGACTTCAGAATATAACATACATTTTTAGATTACATGAATCAAATATACTATTTATAATGAGGTATTTCATTTTATAACTCATATAAAATTGAAAACCAGAGTGAATTATTAAGCAATGAAGTCTATAACTTATCAATTATATTCCATATTGACCACAACTACGTCAGTCACTGTAGAAACTCAGTCGAGCTCGACACTTAATAGATTAATAATACATTAATACCATATTTTGTTGTTATTATAAACCCACATCCTTCAATCTATAACATCATTATAAATAAAAATATCAAACCATAAATTTACCAAAGTAAAAATGTTATGTGTTGTAGGTACAATTTATAGATAAAGAAGGGAGACTACAATTCTTACAAATTATCATATTGTTGTGTACCACAATCGTTGAATGGATGATTTGTTAATTTTCTTTGAACTTAGGTGTTGATAACACCTGTAAGTTGCCATTTCCATACATATTTTACTTGTTTTTGAATTTTGTATCTTACATCAAAAATGTTGCTTTTAACTAGTGAAGGGATGAAAACTCTTGTTCTAAGCTCAGTTTATGTTATTTTGATTTTATAATAGATGTAACGTCTTGCAATCTTATATGATACCCTAGGGCCTAGAACATGACCCATGAAGGAGAGCTAAGTCTTAAATCAATAGTCAATCAAGGAATGATGAGCCTCATTTTTAGATTTGTTTTATCAATTATAGCAGTTATTAAATCTTGTTATTATATTATTCAATTTATTACTTAGGTACCTAGGTATTACACTTATTCTCGTATAATAAAATATAATATTATACAGGATATCTTTATTATTGTTATACCGTCAAATACCAATAAAAATAAATAATTAATGTATCTATAATGAGCTTACGTCATGTTGATAGCGAGAACAAAAAAAAATAATTAATAATACACTTGGTATATTTTTAAGAATTTAAAATAAATATAATATTTTATGGTTAAATTATAATAAATTCTTGTTAATTTTTAACCTATTCTTCTTCGCTGTTTGTATCTTCTTCATCCGTATCATGTGCTATCAAAGCGTCCATTAATGGTTTTGCTTCCATTATTTCATTTTCATCGTAATTATACAAATGGAACATGCGGTCCAATATTTTTTGGATATTCACACCTCCCTTAGAATAGCCTGGAAAATTTGGTAAACCTTCCGGATTCTCTTTAAGGGCCATGTATGCCTAACATATGCAATAATTATAAGACTCATATTATTAAATCGTAAAAGTACAATAAATATCACAATATTAAATAGATAATAAAGTTATGTTCACCATAAAATCAACAGGATTTTTTGGTCTCACTTTTGCAACTTGAACTATCAATTTAGTCAAATTAGGAGTGACGTATTTCATTAGATATTCTTCGTTAGACAAACTTTCGATGTATTCGAAATCCGTCGCCTTCCTAAAATCTTCTAGCAATGTTAACTGTAAGATCCATAGATATTTTTGTATAACAATATTAGATGGTATTTTTCGTTACCTATTGGCTATTAGTAGAGTTCCTACTAAAGTACAATAATAAAAACTTTTTCACGTAGTAAAAAATCTTGAAAATTAAATGCTAGGTTCTTTATAAGTATTATTAATGGAAGTTCAAAAATATTAAAGATATATTATATAAGTACAGTTATTTTTTTATATGCATATAATATTAAATTTCGAAAATTTTTAAACTATTTTCAGTTAGAAATTCATAAAAGTTTTTCTTTCCTTAGCTTACGTAAGACATTTTAAAAGAAGATTCCCCGCAAATTGTTCTACATATTTAGATTTTAGACAGTACATATTTTTGCATATTTAACATTTGTATGAGCATATTTTGTCGTTTACAATTTATATATTTTTGAGTTGGATACGATTTTATTTTTGTACTCGTGATGGATTCTACATGGCACAGCAACCGATGAATAATATATAATTACCTTACCATATAGCAACTTCGCTTATACATTTTTTATGTAATTATAATTTGAATTCATATCTATCATCTATGATTCACGCACGTGTTGTACCCCCCTCCCCAAAGGAAAAACAATAAATTATGCAGATATTCAATGATTTTCCGTGCAGAGGAGAAAATATCAAGTTACACGCTACCTTTACTATACGTCTATACAGTTAATTTTGTTTAGCCCCTATAACTTATTAGAGCCACTTATAACCGTAAACGATTAATTTTTCAGTCATTACATTATAATATAATATGTGAAACAGATATTTACTTTTTCCTTGAGTTGTTTGTGTTTATATTTTTGATGTTCAATGTTAATTTCTTCCTCTATTGAATTCGATTCATTTAAATCAGTAATTTTCTCCAATATTCCTATAATTATTAACCTTAATACAGAATAAAACATAGAGTACCTACTTACATCGATATAGGTAATTATTATTATATTGAGCCTCATTCATGTACCACATTATGTTAGTTGTTAATTATTAAATTGTTAGACCTTAGTAAATAGTAGTATAATAAGTAATTACTAATTACTAATAATTAGTATGTTATAGGTACTATAATTTTTCAATCACCATGTTGTTGATTCAATTTGATTTCCTTTACAACTATACTTAAAAACTGTTCAAAACTTGGATCAAATTCCGGTAATTGAACTTTATTAGTATACAATTTTAGTGGTAAGTATGGAGATTCAATCATCTTTATCGGCGCATAATAAAAATTGAGTAATTTCAATAGATTATTATGATTTTGTTCATTCCAAATTAAGTGTTTGCTAAAATAATCGAGTTATTACATTATTGTCCATTAATATATTGACCGATATTTTTAAAAATGGTTAATATTTTACGGTTTTTTTTTAATTTGTTTTTTCAGAATTGCTTTAGCTGCAACTACATTAGATACTACTGCGACGTCAGAACTTGATGAGTGTATCATGTCAACTTCTGAGAACAGGAGTCGTCTTTTTGCACTTTCATTTTTAAGCGTATTGGTGTTTGTATTTGTATGGATTTCTTCACTGTTTTGTTCAGCGGGTAAAATATCACACTCTGCGTTTTGCGTTAAATTAACTGTCAAATCTACAACAACATAATAAATAATAACACATCAATTGATATGCAAAAATACATACTATTATAATATAAGTACACCTAGCCTTTGATTTTTTTTATATATAGCCAATATTTGTGTATATATAATATTATATTAATAAATATACCATTAAACTATGTACCTATATTATATAGTAGGTAGGTACTAGGTAGATACATACGCAATAGTATTATTAAAATAAAAATATATATATTTGAAATTTGTATAGGTACCTACCAGGCAATTTATTAATATCAATATTTGATTGAAGTAAATTCGCATCATCGAATCGGAATAGCATTTTGGCTTGATCTACTGTCGTTGGATATCCATCCAAGACATACCCACGTTTAAAAAGTGCTATTCTTTCATTCAATAATCTATAAAAAAAAAAAAAATATAAGAACCTATAGAATATAGCTGCAGGTGGTATCTACATAAGAAAAATGTAAAAACGATTTACGGAATTAGATAAATATCTTCCAATTCATCATTATTGGCATCCATAGATGAATATAACATTGATAGCTTTTTATTTAATTCTGATATTTTGTTAGTTATAATTGGACTAATTTCAGCTTGGTCATCAGCATCATCTAATAAATCTTCCAAATCCTCGGTAAATTGACTTTTGTGGTACAGTAAACTGATTTCTTCTCTCTTCACAAAATAATTTGACACCATGCATAATTTGTTTATAAAAATTAATTATTTAAAACTCACAATTCCATTAATACAGTCTTGAGTTATTTTTTTTGGTTCCAAGTAAAGTAAACCATAATACTGCGCCAGTTGAAGTGCAAGTTTGGTCTTACCAGAAGCCGGGGGACCGATTACAATTAATTTAATACTCTATGCAAAAAAATTACACTTTTATCTCTAATCAGTATACTACAAAATATACATTCAAAATAATTATTTTAAAAAAATGTTCACTTTAATGTTATGAACTCTTTTGTACGTTTCAACTAAATATTTCATTGAATTCAGTATTGATGGTTTATTGTTGTACCATTCGAAGTTAGGCCACAATCGGTTAATGCTCGAATTGACTTTAATATCGGCTGACATAATTTGTTTATGTATGTCCTACGATCGTTTCGAAATTTAACTTTTACATAAGTGCTTAATTAGGTACAATCTGAATTTTTAGCCAGGGCTTGAAACCGAAAAAAATTTTTCCGGTTTCGGTTTCGGTTTCGGATACCGGTTTTGATTTTTTCCGATTTCGGTTTCGGTTTCGGATACCGGTATCAATTTTTTCCGATTTCGGTTTCGGTTTCGGATACCGGCATCAATTTTT